TGGTTTAGAATTACAACTTTAGAGGTGGATGTTCTTCAGTATTCTACAATATAAAATCGTATGCAGCATTGAAGCATGGAAACATCATCGCCACAACGATCCCCACTCAAATCAGTTTTCGACGTCTGCTACTATAAACAATATATGATATTTAATGATGATGATTCTTCAAACACCAAAGTATTGTAGTTATAAAATCTTTTTATATTGAAAGTTTTTATATTATCCAAGAACAGAGAAATATATATGTAAATGAAAATCTTAACACGCTGTAAAGTCTTACGAATACATCTTACAATTATTAACTTTTGCAATGAGATATATTTCTCTATTGATTTCCCTTATTTGCACGCGCACTATCTATTAATGAAACAACTTTTTAACGGTTTCATCACGTTTGTATTTAGTTTTATGACCGTTCGGACCCTTTACAGGTTCTGTGTTCCTGTAAAGGGACCGAAACGTGTTTTTATTGAAAAATTATGAAAAAATCCACTTTGTTCCTGGCACTCCGAGATGGTGAATGCAAAATTGTTCAAGTATGAAAATAAGTATTATTATTCACTTTTTTAAATTTGAAGTCTGTTATATTTATTGAAAAATGTTTTTATTTGATTACTTTTTGTGCTTCTTATATAGGTACTTTATATAAATATTTTGTATAGGTATCACTAAAATCCTCGGTAGGGCCGTAGCCGCGGCGCGACGAGAGGGGATGCGACCCGTCGACTGGCTGGACGCCCCTGTCTGCCCTTCGGGGCTGATACAGGGAGTGATGAGGCTGGTCTTCTGTGGCGCATCGACCTACGGGGGGGAGGGTCCACGATAAGGGCTATGCCTGTGTGGGCCCTCCCAACACGATGAGTAGGGGACCGGAGATTGCACAGTTGCGCATCTCTGGTCTCTAGTCAGGGGCAGCTGGCCGGTTCGCGCACCGGTCGGCATTGCACGCTTCTGCCTCGTCGTGGGGGTGCGTCTCGAATGTCTCTGAGGCTTACCCCCAACCCGAGTGGGACCTGCCCTTTTCGGGGCGGGCCGAAATGGGGGCGAACTGCGCGGTGTATGGCCTCCGGGCTGATCCCGCGCCTCGCCCACCATGAGAGGGACATCGCTGAGTTTTAGTGGGTAAACTTCCGTTTCTTGTCTAGCCCCCTCGGGGGTGGGGCCACAGGAGGAGTCCCACATCACCCGTGGAGCCCGCGCAGGGTGAAGCGGGTATGCGTAAAGCATTTCTCAGCGTCAAAAAAAAAAAAAAAAAAAAAAAAAAAAAAAAAAAAAAAAAAAAAAAAAAAGGTAATACTAAAATATTAAATATAAAAGAAATTATATATGAAAGGCCTGAAATATTTGATTTTTTTACACTACGTAACCACGAAGAAGTCAGTGAACATAATACAATATATAATAAAAAAATAATACAATGTACATTATCGATAGCTCAATAGAAATAGGGAAACCTGAAGTAATACGAGAATCGGGTGCAAGACAATAATAGATTTATTATTTCATTTGAGTTCAAAACATATTACAAAATCTACAAAGACTATACCTATTTACATATAGATATAAAAATTATAATCTATGTACAAAAAGGATATTATTAATAATATTCGTTTTGAACATAGAAATATTTTGTTTCTTCGTTGACATAAACATGACATCAAAATATTTAGATGATATATGATAAAAAACATATTTTGATTTGTTATAAAGAGAAAACTACTGAATCGATTTAGATAAAATTTAAATAGGAACACCTCAGCCCGTTAAGCTGTCGAATAAAAAGAATTTTTAAATCTATTCATAATTGGAGGAGCAATCGCGTAACAAACACACAAAAAACATATACCTAGTCGAATTGAGAACTTCCCCTTTTTTTGAAGTCGTTTAAAAAGCCATAAAAAATAAAAAGGTAAAAACAACACAATTATTTTATAAACCAGATTATGGAAATCTCAAGCATAGTTGAGGCTGTGCGTGAAGACAAAAGACTGTGCTTATCCATCTCACTGAATCCGGAAATGAGATGGAGACCGTAGCTGACAAATTGCACGTAACGAACATTTTTAATTATTTACTGGCAAACAATGACGATTTATGTAAAGTGTTTCATTACAACCATGTAATACTTTCAATGTTAGAAGATTTCAGAACTTTGAACATCCCTTATATTCAACCAACATAGAAAAGAGATCGCTTTATGTAAAAAAAAATCTGTTGTAGATTATGCTCCACAAAAGTTTTCAAAATGGGGGTGGGCCCCACTTTGGATGTGTTTTGGTATGAATTTTACTCACACGAAAACGCACATATGATCCCGACCTTAAAACTACTATGGTACACTGGGCGTAAGTTAGTTATAGTTATACATACGTGCGTAAAATCAACTAACGATTTATTATAAATTGTTCGCCTACTTAAAAAATCCAATATATATTTTGTTTTCATGATATCTAATTGCAGAGAATTTCCCGTTTATCATTAGAATGTAATCATTATGTCATTTGGTGAGTCATAAATAACAACCTCCAGAAGGAAGGAAGGTTTAAATGACATTTAGACATAGATTCCGCATAGAATTTTAATACTCCAGTCGTAATATCTAGAAGGCACTCTAATTGAAGAAGAATTTACTGCTACCAGACTGGGCTTATTTTATTCCCCTTGGTGTCTGAAATTTAACAAAACAAATTTTATACTTAAAACTATTATAAATTGTTTGCCCTTCAACATCTAACTTAAATGGAAACAATAATTGAATCCTATAAATAAGTTATTGAACACTTGATCGAATCTCGATGATATATTTGGCAACAATAAATGTAAAAATAAAAATGAATACATTTTTGCGAAGAACGTTTAGGTTTAATGACGCCTTTAAGCTCCAAAGGACGCCAAATTAGTATGGGTAATGCCACTTTAAACGAATGTCAATTTTAAATGTTGTGCAACTGGCAGTATAAAATTATAAGAAGAAATTTAAAGGAAGGTGAATTTAGCATCTATGATTTTTTCAATCGAGAAAATTTTATAAATTTACGTTTTGACTGGGGTATTCATCATATTTCTAATGGTTTTCATTTAATGAAGAAATATCTAAAAATCGTCCAAAAACAAATAATTTTTGGTATATGCCGTCCATTATAGTATTATTGAATTTCTATTCTAACAAAAAATAATAAACATGTGTAAAAAAAGAATATTTGTTTCTTATTACTCTAACACAGATAATCAACGAGGTGAATATGCTTTTATATAAAGCATTTCTCAAGTCATGTTATGAATATGTGATTTTTTAATGCAAGATAAAGTTTTGATAGCATGCTAAATATTCGTGAAGTCAATTCCCTATCGAACTGCCACTGTAGTCTTTATTTGGCAGTGATAAGAGGCTACTAATAATAATACTTTATTAATAGAAAATGATTTATATTCGGCGCTAATTTAAGCACGCTATGTCTATTTACGGATTGATGAAGACCGGATTAACCTTTCCGATCAAAGAAATTGGTTTTATTCTTGGTAACGTGCTTTATTTAGGCCGTTTAGTAATAGATTCATTCGCAAGTTGTCAATCTGATAAAATTGTTAATCGTGTAGTTTCTTTAATTATTATGGAGTCGAACAACGGGAGCTAAAGATTTTTCTACGTTTATTAGTATATATTTTATCGTGACGTGTAAATTTTTAACATTTCCTTAAATTTTTCATAAATATATGTATAATAAATAAGTCATTATTTTACGCTAAAATTATCTATAATATTTACTAATAGAAACTGAAATACTTCAACAATTTACGATAGATAATTTAAAAGAGTATAGAAAAGCATATATGTATTAAGTTAAAGCCACAAATGCAGATAAAATTACAATTAATAAATAGGCAATATATAATAATAACAATATTTATAATTAAGATATATAGTGTCAAAGTAAATTATTATTTTCTCACGGTCAAGTTAACAGATCTCGCTCACAGCTGTTGCGCGATGCGGCGCCACCGCGTCGCGTGTCTCAACTTCCAGACCACCCCCCAATCAATAATCCTTTTGCGTCTAATCGTACTCTACATCAGCGTGCAAATGTATATAATGAACTTGTAATTGTGAAGAATGTAAAATAAATATTTCCTTGTAAAAAACTGATTATTGGGATCAATCAGCGTGAATGAGGATACGCGTCGCGATAAAAATTTATTTGACAACGAGTCGTGGTTAGCGTTACGGACGGGTGTTTTATATGTGGCGGTGCAGCGATGCACCATCTATGTTTAGCACGAGACGGCGGCAGCAGGTGCGCGAACCGTTGCGTAAAGCTCTTGAAGAGCGATGGTCGAAGGTGGTGGCGACAGTGCGCGTTATCGATCGCCGCAAAAGAGCACGCGTGCCTCGTGGCTACCGGCGCGACCGGCACTGGTCACCGCCTCAACGCCGCGCAGGCGCACTGCACGCCAGACATCGACGCCTGTCGCGACTATGGCTGCCGCTGCACCCACACCGCATACGATATTTACGATTCGTTACGTATGCAAAAAATGCTATCCGAATTTGGTTTTTATACTTTTAGAATACTGCCAAACAATCTATTTCAGAGAAATAAGCCTGAAAATTACTACTACCAGTTTGATTACTTATATTATAATATGAGAATTCATAACACATAGTCCAACCAAACTCCGTAACTAAAAACGTTACTATTTCCTACCCAAACCGAACCGAATTACCAACATTTAGGATGACAAATGAATCATAATCGAAACAATACAGTGCCAAGGCCAGCCAGTATGATTTCGAATCAACTAAGGCAGTCTTTCTTTAGACTGCTTTTTAATACTATTCCAATGAATTCTTACATTGATTTAACTTTAAATTCCTCCATCATCACTTAATACGAACGCACTTTTCAATTGGCCAAGTTACAAAAACAGGTAGGTTTATGAAAAATAACATATTGGCAAATTAATAAACATTAATTATGTAATTATTATATGGTACTCACGGAAGTAATTAAGAGTCTCCCTGATCTGGTCAGGTGTCAATTGGAGATCTTCGTCGCTGACAGGCAGCGCCGGTGAAGGTATGAACCAGTCTTGATTTTCGTAACCTGAAAGAAACGAATATAATATTCAGTATTATGTTCGTAAGTTCTTAACTATTCTGGAGCGACGCTATCAAAGAACTGAATAAGGTTACATTTGATTGCATCATCTTAAAGAAATATGGGCTCGTTGGGTGTTGTACTCGTAACAAAATGCCTCCCAACTTTACACTGTTTCAGATTAAAACTAGGTATCGAATTCGATAAATTTCTTGTACTATTTTATCTACTTAAGCGACATCTAAAAGAGCAAAGTCGGTTAGAGCCAGATATAATTTTCGTACTGCCAGACATTCATTGGTTTGTTCAATTTAAAGAGGAACTTGTTGCCTGACGTCACAGGATTAGTGAATCATATCGGTTACGAGACTAAAAATTTATACGAGGCAACATTCCACACATTTCATTCAGCTTAACTATACCTATGATATGGATTATGTTAGTTTTTCTTATCAGCAGAGTGTAAATGTGCTTTGCAGTTTCTCTAACGTTTCTAATTTTTCTCTCCTTTTTTGCCCTGATCTTAATTTAGGAGTGTCCTCCTCTATCATTATTTTTCACTCAATTACATTACGGCAATATCGTTTCTACACTATCTATCTATATTTTCGACGGCTTTTCTCATTCTTTCTTCTTAGATTGTTACGATTCAGTAATTTTAAATGCTGCGCTTACCGACATTTTACTTTTATTATACAGAATATGCAAAAAATGCCTTGCAACACATAAGATAATAAAATAATTAAAGAAAAACAAATTTCCCACATGGCAGTTTTAGTAGTATATATTGATATATCTCTATTCATCATATCTGCCTACCTACGTGTAATGCAATAAGTAATTGCTAGCTGTTACACAATATTCCGGTACTTGGCTGAGAAAGAAACTCAATTGTCTTACCAAACATGCGTTCATTACATCCAGATAGTAACAAATGTTACTCATTACCTGCAGTGTTAAACGACGACACATATAAAATTACTTGAAAATGATTATCTTTTTGAACTTGCAGATTCATTTGTGTAAGTTGAAGAAGATGAAATATCACAATATAGTTAGAGATGTTTGTTTATCGTTGTTTAGGAAATAATTATAGTATTAGTGCAATAGTGTGAATGCATTCAATGTGACATATGGCACACATCAGACCGATCGGGGACGCATAAAGCGCATATTGGTCTCCGGACGATGACTCGTGCGATGAGACACTATTATTTATAGCATTCTCGAAGCGAGCGCCGGCGGCGCCGGAAACCGCGCCTCAAGCACTCGCTGGAACGGAACAACGCATATAGACTGACGCTGCTTCAGATTGTTGTGCATCTAAATACATACAAATCCATTTTCCAAATTATAAGACTAGGAATTTACAATCCTCTATATTGTGTTTCAAACGAAGATCGAAAAATAATTAAAAAGATCAATTAGATGCGACAATTGTTTAGTGGTTTTGCTTATAAACATCCAATGTATGTCTATACACATGAAACAAAAAATAATCAAAGAAGAGGTGGCATTATTGAGTACTTAATTGCAGTGTGAAATTCACTAGCAATTAGAAAACGTACAGGAGATCAACAAATGTGTATTGTTGAATTGACTGGATTTTATACAAGATATCACCTTTAAAGGAGTTTCATGTACCATCGCACTAAGAAAATATGGTTGCACCAACGCAATAAGCTTCGCAATTTATATTTCTGTGAGAGGAATTACTTTCTACAGAATAAAATAATCGTAAATGAATATTCTAGTTGCTAGTTGACATTTACGGTGAGCGACTACAGTGCTCTCTCGCAAGAGGCCTTGCCATTCCACTCTCATTGTTAGTGGTGCCGGCCAGATCGTGCAATACACTAAAGCCTGTCCTGTAGTGTTAGCTAATACCTACAATTCGCACGACAAAACTCCTAGAATCTGTACTGAGAAAATAAAAATTGCAAAAATAGTATGCGGCCTAGTTCTTGGACATTGACCTGATATATAGGACGGACAGCTAACGAATTCAGGACGATACTAAATAGAAGTTGTTTTCTTTCACGTTTTGACGCTGTGTATTTTGTTACTGTTCAATTCGGTATACTCATTATTAAAGAAATGTATATTAAATGTTACAGTAGACCGCCAACTTTCATTTCTAACACCAAAACAAGATACACATTTCACAACATACATCATATAAGTATGTATTGTAGGTTGTGATGACATGAAAATATAACTTAATGTTATAAAATTCAAGTGTATAAACACAAACAATATTACGAAACAAATTTTCATTATAACAAGATATATTTGTCTGTACATAATTGTGTCCAGTTAATTTTAATTACCTATCTCATTCGATGTGAAGAATGCGGGTTAAAACTTGGTTATCGATAAATATATGGCAGGTCTTAATCTTATTACTTTTCCGACGACATAAATTCATGTGATTGCTAAGACATGTTTACAATAAAAAATTAAATTGTCATTTTCTACATTTTATTCGTTTTTCTGAATCTTATTTTCGTAATGAGATCTCAATAGCTCGTTGATTATTAACTGTTAAGTTCTTTATTGATTTTCTTTTTCCAACTTGGACAAGATTTTTTTTTAATAAAGTGGGAAATTTTATATAAGGGAAATAATACCTAAAATATTTGCCACTTTAACTTAAAGTAAAAACAGAATAATTATTTACATTATTTTGAACGACTAATCGAAACTGGATGATGAAATTTACAATTTTGAAGCGGTGTTGATAATAAAACACACACGTGAACAATTTTCATTAAGTTTAATTAACAATTACCTATATTTGAATTTTCAGTGTTAATATCCAATATATGTTTAAGCCTATATTTTAAAATTATAAAATAACCAAATTATACATTTTGTGTAATCAAATATCTGCTACCAAAAACTTTTAAAACATGGCCATTGAGAAAAGGCAAATAAACGGATAATTAAATATTATTATACCTCCAAATTGAGTGAGGCTGTCAGCTCGTAAACGGTACTTAGGTATGTACTCTTGTAGAAGGCTAACGATCTCTACCTCCGGCACCTCCTCGCTATTGCACACTTCTGTAGACAAAAGAAAACAAATTTTAAAATTGTTTAAAATAACAGCAGGAATTCAATGCGTATGTATAACTTAATACGCTTATTTATATTTAGAGAGTTTCAATGTCGTGATCGTGACTATAAATGAAGTTCAGTAAAGTGCATAGACATATTGCAATGTCTATAACTAGTTGCGATACGAGATGTCTACTCTCCGTATTTAGTATAGGAACAGCTGCAGACAGAATCGATAGCTGCCTCCCCGCCGGCAGCGCCTCTGACCGCGCCTCTACGAGGCATGCACCCCGCGCATTATTTACCTACGTTGTACATGGGAAAGTTTATTACTGTTTCACGCAAAAAGTACTAGACGGATTTTGATGAAACTTGGCATACGGAAAATTCTACCTAATTCAACGATCGGAAATGCATTATGCATACCCGTTCCCCCCAACGCCGAGACATATCTACGTCATTCTTCATAGACGGCAATGCGCGTGGATATCCCGAAGATCACTACCGCGTATAATTCTCAACCTTGATTAACAGGTACTTTTTATCTGACTAAACGGTTCCCTAAGGACCACGCGAACCAAACTCGGACGAATCTAGTAAAATTATAAAAGCTGATCATTTATCCACTTTATTGTTACAAAACAACATTTATTATCTATTATTTTTACTGAATTTTGCATTCTTAATGCAATCTCAACATACATTTTATCTTGCTTGATATGATAGGTAGCGTTTCCTTAGATAAATAATACCCAAACAAACTGTCAATAAAAAGGAGAAATTTTCATTACATTTTACGCATCTTAGTATTGACATTGATTTAAAAGGCGAACTTATAAAATTTACACGAAAAAGAAATACAAATTTATCACTACAACTTTTCGATTTCGATTCGATTATTTAATTGATTAAATTAAAATGATATTCGTTTTCATTACGCACACTGATATAGGTGACTCACTTGTAACCAAGCCTCGATACAAGCACGCATTTAGTATCATTATGAAGGTTTTTGTGGAATTAATTAAAAATCATATTTTATTGTAATTAATTCCACTGTTTTCTTGGCGTCGCGATTTCATGTCGTTTTCTCTTGCGTTTGCAGATTCTTAACATACCCTATTAACAGCTAAAACACCATGCATATAATGATTATTATGTTACATTTTAATTATATTAGTAACTTCTTCGGCACGTACCGCTTTTGAATATTTTTAATCCCCGAGGTAATCAGACATGTGTTGCAAGTTTAAAATGCCTGTTGCAGCTCACAAACAGATGACCAGATTATAGACCAGAGATATATTTTTTTTGTTCTTTGTCGTGATAGATATTGTCGGGAGCATTGTTAACCATGATAAAAGAAAATCTCTTTTCTAATGAAAGGTCTGTAGGGCTGTCTGTGGCATCGTAGCTACCAAGCAGATAAACCAGAGGGCCTATTCTGTTTGCCTACGAACGAAAAGTTACAAAAAATTTAAATCATATATGCGTCAATATTATCATTAGGAGCTGCATATTATAGTGCCAGGGTCCTACCTCCGTTTCATTATTAATTATCGTTAAATGTGTTCCTTTAGAGTCGTATTAGGGTTTCAAATATAGACGAATTTTCGCTTTCGGAGTAACAGAGTAGTAGGCCTTCAGTTTTGACATACTTTTTTTTTGTTTGAAAGGTTACTTAATCGAAAGTATTTTTAGGCATGACTTAAGAATTCCTGGTGTGTGTATAATTAATTTAGTTTATTTTAGATACAACGTGAAAAAAAGGTTTTATATCGTGTCCAATATTGTACCATAAGAGAATGGCAAGATCGGAAACTAGCAAAGTAAGTTCCAAGCTTCAGACTTCAAAAAACCAGAGGGTCATTTCTGGGTACATGCATTGTCATATATTCTGGGTATATGCATGCAATGTTCAACGAAATTCCAAAAAATGTAATGGACCTACCCATAAATAAGTTTAAAATTCATATAAAGAACATACTTACGAGCAAAAGCTATTATAAAGTTGATGATTATTTTAAGGACCGCAATGCATGGAATTAATAGCCTTCGCTTTGTTCTATAACGATGAATTATATTTACGAACTATGATCTACAGACTTTGAAAGCTGTGTCTTATATTGTGAGAATACATATTATTTTGGTAATGACATGATTTTGTTAATGTCATTACTTATGATAAGGAGCTGGTAAATTTCTTTCGCTTGTTCTTCTTGTCAGCTAAAAAACGTCCTGAACATGGGCAGGAGAAAAAAAAAATTTTGGAAGATTCAAAAGTGCTAGTAACAAGCTCACTTGAATAAAGATATTTTCATTTCATTTCAATAGACGATAGACATAGAAACAACACATCAGGAAATTATAGAAAATCTTAATGCCAAATATAGAAAATTTAAATAATATTCTTACCAACAAACAAACTGTTTTTGCCATCACACAAATTTTATTCAACCATGGATTTGCAATATCTTTGCCGATTTAAAATAAACTACACTGATCATATGCCCCTGTGATAAAATAACAATACAAACTATTAAACACCTGATAAATTACTATCCCAAATTTAATGTACAATGCTTAAAATAACTACAAACATTTAATTTCATTAATAGTAACAAACCAAACGCCAATCCATATAATTTAAAAGATATAATAAACAAAAAAAAAATCGACTCAATTATATTTTTTAATAAAGCATTATAAATATCATCATAATAACAGATAGCGTAATAAACAATAAAACATTGGGTAAAACAGCTCATAAGTTAGCCAGAGATTTATCCATCAAATATAGATTTAAAATAATAAATTACTTTTACTAAAACTAAAAAGAAAAAACAAGCCCAGTAGTTTGGAATGTTCATTATATACTACTGAATATCTTGCTTTATTAAAATAGTTTTTAATCTATACACACAGTTTCAATGGGGCAGTTATCCAGTAGTACTAAATAACATTCCAAACTACTGGGCTTGTTTTTTTCTTTTTAGTTTTTAGTGAAAGTAATTATATATTTTTTTCACTTCTTTCTTTTGTTTTCACACAGTACGGTTTTTTTGTTTTTTATAACTAAATTTTTATTTTTTCCACTTTTTAGTTCGTTCTCACTGACTTCGTTATTTAGAACTATAAGACGGCAAATTTCGCAACCATGTCATTTCATTGGAGTTTATATCGTGAGAATTATTAAGCAACTCGCGGCGGTCTAAGCTACTGATTAATAGTCCCTCTAGAGACCTCACTCGGCTCAAAGCTACATATGAAATACAAAAATTCGCGAACTTAAGTCAACCAACGATCGATGCAAAGTAGTTCTTGGCACTTAAAAGCTTAATAATTTGCGAACGGTTCACTATATCTAAAGACAGTCTTCGCACACTTCTAATATTTTTGAAAGACCTATCCAACAATATCCCACACTATCGAAAAAATAAAAAATCATCCCACTTTACATGTAGGGGAGGTACCCTAAAAAATTTTTGATTACTGTTATTTGTTTAGTGACACTCGCAAGGTTAATACAAATCGATTGACGTATAAATCATCAAAATTGGCCAAGCCGTTTGGTGTCTACAATGCCATATAAGAACAAACATACATACATACATAGACTCATTATCACATTACCCTCCTTTGCCTTGCGCAGTCGGGTAAAAACGGTTTCATTTGATTGAACTTCTAATGCTGCTACGTTTGCGCTTTTTTACAAAATACCAAAGCAGTTTGTAAGCGAATGAAAAGTGACGTTTTATAATTATGATTCTTTTTTCTCTCCATAAATGAACCTTCCTAGAACCATAGTTTATTAAAACGGTGGAGATACGTGAAACAAACATTTGTGTTATATTCGTTTCGAGCTCATCTTATAATTTATAATGCAACGGAAGTAGGACCTGACACATTATGAGAACGATTCGAAATTTCCGAAAATTCGATTGCCCTCGGATTTATTTATAAAAACATTGAAAACTTCTACTGAAAGTTTACAAAATTACATTGAATCATTCATTATTATTGTTATTATTATTATTTTATTGGATAAACAATATGTATTTCTTTCCATCATCAGAAAAAGGCAGAATAAACTCGGATATAATTTATTTTTCAATATTCTTGTCTTCCACATAATATTTGCTTGATTTACGTATCTTTTCAATCATACATGTATAAATTCATCAATCACGCAACCCTAACAATTTTATTCCATTGATATCTTAACATCAAGTCGCGATAATAAACCCAAACAACAGCTACTTTTACTAATTAATTTTCCAAACACACTCTCTTTGTTACCCGTCGCCAACTGATTAATGACATAGATTAATTTTAACGGTTCGGTATACTCTTACATAATATTAATATAATCGATCAACATCATTGGTGCACTTCTAAAATAAAATTATTGACTTAACCAACCAAATAAAAACTGAAATAATCTTGTTGTACAATACTTTCACATACACTCCATTCAAAACTATTTATTTTAATATATTACATAAATCTGTTGGAATATATCCAGAATAGTTCCTATTGCGTGTGAAAATAATAACCATTACCAAACTCTTGACGATAGTTTTGGCATTAGCTCCTATTTACAAACATTTGAAGATAGTACAAAAAAATCTTAGTTTTCCACCTTTCATATACACACAGAAGCTAAGTCGATCTCTTAGTAAAAAAGAAAAGTGTTTATAATCTAATCAATATAATACCCGAATAGTAGATTTGATACTGTACCTAGGTATTCAATAAACTAGTATTCGTTGCATCACTAATCAGTATAGCTATAAATTTTGTGGTCGCTAGTTAAATTTAATAAACCTAAGATTCATCAACAGGAAAAAAGATAAATGTTGTTTCCTTGCAATTGTAACCGTCTACCGTTAAGCATCTATCAATTTAACCTTCCACCACTTTTTATTATTTCATTTAATTCATGACGACCCATTAAAGACATGCATTTTGTCGTGAGAATGAATGATACATATCAATAAACGTAATCAAATTGTGGTTAGCTACACTTATCATTATCTGTCACATGATTTGTTGTGAACTTGTGATAATCAGTTATCGTTTTTTGATCGCCTCCTCCAGACAAGTGACTATATTCGTTATTAAACGTCAAACATAAAACTTCATCACCTCTATCATAATTTACTAAAATAGTTTTTATTCCAGCTGACTACAAAAAGTCGATTATAAATCAGCTGTATTCTAGTCACGTCTATTAAACATGTAATTTACACATTTATTACCGACGATTTATAATCGTAATAGCCACACAGGTTAGGTGGTTATCAGCTATTATTTTCTTTAACTCGATAGTTACATAATTGATGATTTACATGAACTATCTTAAACCGCTTTTTACATCATTGCAAATAGCTTTTCAGTTCTAATCGTTTCAACTATTGTAATTGGCATATCCATATCGTTCATTCGTAAACATTACAGTTAAGCACCTATCATACAAAAAATTAAACAGGTTTTTCTGTCTTATTTCAACTTTACACATTTAGGTACGAATTTTTTTTCTGTGTACAAATATGTTTCTATGATTAGTATGTACATATATTGTACAATTTTAGAAACAATGCAAATAGTATTTTGGTTATGGATAGTAGATTATTGTTAAGAAAACTCTGCATGTCTCTTGTGTTTGCATACAAAAGTTATATTTCAAAACAATGGAATGTTATGATGCAAATTTAAAACTAGAAGTTTCTTCAATAGGTTTACTATAAACTCACCTTCACTCCAGGCAAGAAGAAGATCCTGTCTCTTTTCGTGATATTCATCACGACGACGCCTCGAGAGCAATCGCTTTTTAGTATCACTCATACTTTAGATGGCACAACCCTTTAATTTCTTTAAGTAAAGTACCCACAAATCACATAACGTCACATCACAACAGACATATAAACAAACACTTTCACATATATATGTGGACGTGCACTGTGAAATGTACACCTTATTAATCATGTAATAATATTATAAATGTATGGGCTCTAGATAATGGACAAAACGTCATTAAAACAGATAAAAACAATATATTGATTCGTATCGAAGACAGAGACAAAAACGCAAATAACTGCGTTGTTTGTTAGTGGTACTATAACAATGATGTTAGACAACAAACACTCTGTTTATAAACGACAATTCTACTTTCTCACTCGCTCTGAGAATAGATCACAATACAAGCTAAGACGGGGGTGAAAATGCAGATTACATGAAGTTGGAACTTTCGAACAAAGTACAGTGTATCGAATAGAAATTTCTTTCAAGCATATTTGCCATAACTATTTAAAATAATTCAAAAAAGTTTCAAATTCCAAACATTTTAATCTATGAACTGATTTCTAAAGCGATTAGATATTCTATAATTTCTAAACGACTTTTAAGTTTAATTTCTAAATTATTATTATTATAGTTTACGCATGAGATGTGATTATTTAGTAAGTTGATACTCTTCATATTTGATTCCAACCATAGAGAAAATTCAAACGGCTAATGATGATAAAAAATTGAAATTACTATGTACTGTACTACTGTGGTAGTATATATAATTTAAAAGACCAGTGATAAATACAAATCCGCAAATTGATATTAACGCACCAAATTTATTTTACCCCGCATAAATATTTGTCTTGTCAACATTCTAATGAATAAGTAATAGATTTAAGCTTCGCTCTTTTTGAACTTTAAATAGAAACAGTACGAGGCCACACGCACAGTTCGATGTGGAGGAGGCGGCACGGTCGACGCACTCATTCGTACAACCAATAAAAATAAGGATGTCGTCAATATGTTGGCATCGTTACCATAGCGGGGTCACCTCGGAACCAGAACTTCGCTGGTTCACTTGCGCAGTGACGTAACAACCGCCGACCTTGCTACTGTAAGGGTTTAACGAATTAACAGACCCCGACGATGAACAGTACAAATTTTTGCTATTACATAACCAAACATGTAGAGAACATACTTATGATATGCGTTTCAGATGTCACGGCTAAAAAATTCAACTTGATTTTGTTAACCTAATTACGTTATAAAAATATTGGCCTAATTGACAAACAGAAAATGACTGAAGAATCTAAATAAAAACAATCCATTGTTGATTACATAATTGCATTGTTTAGACACTATTGATGAATGAGATACTATAAAACACAATTTCATTGACATTGATAAATCACTTTCTAGTTCACGAGTTTTTTTGGCTGGTTTCTCGATCTTTGTTGACAATCTATAAATATATAGATGAAAGTTTGCAAAACTATGGACTAGTTAATATAATTAGACCATGAAAAACGAGGATAATTAATTATTTTTGCATAAACTTTGACTTTAAACATAGAAATTGGAATTTATTAGTGTACCTGTGCAACCTGTGTATCATTACGTGTACTCTGATAACGCAATTGAAATGATTATATAAAGTACTAAAATCGTAACTGCCGATCGCGTTACAAGTTATTCTTATTAGTATAAAGGAAGTAAAACGAAGGATTAAAGAAATTAAAGTGATTTAGTGTAGGGAGCAAGACAGAAATCAAAAGTACATGCCATTGTTTATGATACAATATTGTAATAGTACCTTTCATTTCTATATCAGCAAAAACTAAATTATCAAGTAACAGGAGCTCGAACCGTAATTAACAATAAAATCATCCTTTATGACAAACAATTATATTATATACCTCTAAATGAATTATTTCTAACTATGCAATTGCAAAAGAAATGTAAAAAAATCGATTAAATTTACATCACTCGTAATTTTTTCTTTAAATTTAGTTAATAAGTTATTAAAGTCTTTTAAAACAAAAATTGACATTTATAGAATGCACACATTTTATGATAAAAAATATATATATTTTAACTTTATTTTAAGACGCGAAAAATATATATATTTATATTTATTTTAAGACGCGCGAACGATTGTTAAGACGTGTGCGAATCCCGCGCTCGGCTCATAGTCGAGGGGCAAGCGGCGATCGACTGGAGGAGGTGCGCGAGAGCAAGCCGCAGGTTTAGAATAGGCATTGGCACTTAGCCAATTTTATGACAACGCATTATTAAAATCCATTCATAAACTCCCCACTTTGCCTGTTAATAAAAAGACAAATATTTTATAAAAACATCAGATTACAAACAAAGTCCCTAACTGATGTCGTTGTAAATAAAAACTATTTTTTGAAAATCCTCAATTAAATATTGTTATTTCTTTTTTTCAAAAACAGAACCGACTTCAAACTTTCAAAAAAAATTTTTTTCAAACAACATTGAAGTCGAGCTGAGGTTTTCTGTAGTTTATTAAATGATAACGCCTAACTTCAATGTTTCTTGAAAAATTTAACCGCTTTTAAGATACTTATATTCCTTAAATAGTGACTTTGAATAAATATTTTGTATAGTTATCACTAAAATATTAAATATATAAAAGAAAAATATAATTATATAAAGAAAGTCCTCGAAGAAATCTATAAACTTATATGAAAAATATATGTATATTTTTTATGCAAGTAGGTAGATACTCCTTGAGTATAGAAATGCCTCGTTTCGGATTTTGAATATTGCAAAATACGCAATCTTTTGCTGATATAAATATGTCATCAATATTTAGGTAATATCTGATAAAAAGCATATTTTGATTTGTTATAAAAAGAAAACTACTGATTCAATTTCGATAACATTTTAATTTAAACCTCTATTATTTTAAATAGCTATGCATAGTTGGCGGAGTAATTGCGTAACAAACACACAAATAAAGCATACAGTCGAATTGAGAACCTCCTCCGTTTTTAAAGTCGTTTGAAAAATAACCTACGTCATTTATAAACCGATTAGATTCGATTTGATTTGTGTTCCATAAACCCCATGGTTTGGTCACCCAAGAATTTAAATTAAAAGTAAATCAGTAGCAGTTTTCTCAACAATTATGATAACGAACGAAGATAGGTCTAAAGGATCACAATATGGCACCTGCCATTTAGGGAACAAAGTAGAGTAGTGATTCCATCTACTTATAATGCACTAGGTTAGGTCACTGCAAATAAAGCGTTCAGTTTACACAGTACTACTTGTAAATCCTAACATGGTCAGTAAAGAAGCACTGACCATAGCACACGTGATTTCAAAGCTGCAAAAACTTAGCATTAATTTTTTATCCTTCAAGTAGGGCTTTCTATCCTTCAACATTTTTGTATATATTTAAATATTTAGTGTTTCTCTCAGTCAACAAAATCATTTTCACTTCTTGTATTACAACGGCTGCCGCAGCTAAACTAGACATCTTGTGAAGGCGTACTCATGATTACATTATTACATTTAGTGCTTCCTATTACCCCTATGTTTAGGGGTGAAAGAAAGATTATAGTAGATTCTAGTGCTCTATAATGTAGTGCACTAGAAATATTGTGTTGTTAAAGCGCCACTTATTCATCTTCACTGATTGTTGCACTCATTAAGGGTATAAATACAAAGATTTATTAAAATTATTAAGTAATCATTCTACGATATACAAAGAGCCTAATCCGGAAGAACAATTGGAACACATAGAAAATTGAGATTTGCGTACTTATCAAAGCAAGAAAAGGTAAGCTTCAGCCTATGGAAGAGATGTCTCTTATTTATAAGGCCGCTAGCCTAAGTTATGACCACGGTTTACAAGTGGCACAACTTGTTCAAGCAAGGCAAAGTTTCAAGCAAGGTTGGATTGTCGACAAAATACAAATAAAGTTAAAGGATGTCCATTTAAAGAAATGAGAAACGGCTCTCACAAATGACAAGAGTATCAGCTTCAACAATTTTTAACATTCTGAATTTCTGAACACTTATCTTGGCACGTCAAATGTGGTTGCTCACGCCGCACCGTAACAAGTTTTGGACCAAACTTGAGATGCAAATTAGGTTTATATCTAAATAATCTAAGCCTTAATATAAAACAAGACCATGCCCTGAAACATGGTTGTTTTGTGGGATACAGAGGTATATTATTTTTTAAATTATTTTAGACAAATATTTACCTCAACATTCTGCATCATAAAATCCGATCTGTCCGATATACCTAATATCTATCGCAGCCATCTGGTTAAAACAGACATCCAATTGCACATCTAGGTCTTTGATAAAACGGCGCCACTCAACAATACAGCTAAACGACGCTCAGTTAACTAATTAAAAGCAAATTCTCTAAGGTACCTAATAATAATGAATTAAAGTGAATAAAACATTACTTATTATCATCTGTTGATGTTTCTTTGTTCGATTCTAGGTAAACATATTTATAAGGGTTTGGTCAGCATGAGAGCGTCAATATGCCAGTTGTTTAAAACAGAAAAGCTAACTGTTCAAAACCTTTATCCAACTTCAAACAATAAAATCTTTTTGCGTCCATAAAACGCACGCCTATGACATTCGCCGATTGTGACTGGCGCCTGATCTAAACGGGCCTCCCGTTAGAAGCGTGTAACTTCACCTAAAGTACATACACAACTTAATTTTTTACTTTAAAAAAAACATAACGGCCTTTGCTTACCTGTGAGTGTGCCTACGTGACGATATGCGCGCGTATCTAGCGAGGGCGCGCGAGGGACATCCTGGAAGGCCGCCAGCTTGACCGTCTCCCCTGTGATAAAGAAACAATAAGATTAATCAGTCATATCTGTATGAACACAACTAGTTAATATCAGATATTTAGGTGTTTATGATGTAACCAAATTATCAACGATCCTGATTCTGCTCTTCTTGATTGAGCGATACTATAGCTAATATAAATCCGATAGTATCTTGGTCTGGACTGGAATACATAATAATAACTGGCCAATAACAAAGGTATATGA